ACGACAAAGTTATATTTCTTATTTCTAAAATATATCGTAATTTGTCGTTAACTTGCTACCAAATATAATAATTTGTCGGTCCAACCGGCTACTGGAAAATAGATTATGATGTAGAACTGATACTACATATAACATATTTCGAAATAGAAATGACGACGTAGAGAAATACTGTAGGGACTATAATTAATTTGTCGTTTTATGATGGTACTTTTATCCATTTTGTCGCTAGTCCGGCTGTCCCACGAAAAACGACTGAAGAATCGCCAGGCTGTACTATACTTAACGTAAATATTTTCCAATGAAAATAATTCACTTAAAATTGCAGTTGATGTTATGAGTTACAAAAATCGTAAAAGAAATATGTAACGAACTAATCTTGAAATGTGCCTGTTCGCTATTTTCGTTTCGACATTTAGGTGCACTTTATTTTTATAAAAGTATTAAGGTATATTATTAGATACGTACCTACACATATAGTTTTCTAGTAGATATTGAGTAATAGTGTATCTACAACGATGTTTTTTTGTGTAGTAGGTAGTACCTGCAGTATAATTTTAGAAGTTCAAGTATTAGCGACATTTTACTGTTTTGTTTGCTTCGTGCGTGGAGCTACAACAAATCATCAGTACATATTTCTTTGAATTTAAAATAGTAGCGTAACAAAAATGTAAAAATAAAATTGGGAATGATAGAAAAGTTGTAGCCAGTTACAACGTTGTAGGTATAAAAATTCTTTGATTTATTTTTATTTTTCAAAAAATTGTGGGACATGTTGGAATTTTGAAGGCGTCTACGGTCGACGTTTTGTAGTAATTAATGATAAGTTGGTTTTTTTGGGTTTATAGACTGATTGACGTTTCGTCAACAGCTATGGTTGATATCTTTAGTAGTGAAGAAAATGGGATCGATGAAGTAGTTCTTTTCATGCTTGACCGCTGTTTCGGCTTGTCATATGTCTCTAACAAAGAACGAACCCTTTATTTTTCATAGGATGATCTACCATCCTATTCCCGACTGGAAATATTAGGGCTGCGGTTCAGGTTCTATTCGGTATACCCATCTTTAAGTAGGGTCGGAATAAGATAATCTTAATTGGTCTGGATAGGGCTATTCTTAGTGGTTCAGGTAGGGTGTCCACATCAGGGCCGAATCAGGCTAAATAGGGTATAGCATAAAAGGATGTTGCTGCACAATCATGTATGATATCATCATCATAAGGTCGTCAGTCCTAAGACTGGTTGGACATGCACCTCCACTCTTTCCTATCCTGAGCTAATCTTCGCATTTCCCTAAAACTAGAACAACCCACATCCTTAACTATTTGCAAACAGTAATCTAATCCAGGTCTACCTCTACCCGTCCTAACTCCCGTTTCTTCCTCTGATATGTCTCTGACTAGACCTTCATGCCTGCGAAGGTGTCCTATCAACCCATCTCGCCTATTTCTTGTTGACTTCCATAGAGTTCTCTGTTCTCCTATTCTTTTAAATACCTCTTCAGTTCTACCTCTACTCCTCTTAATTCCTGTTTCTGCCATATGTATATGTCCTAGTAAATCCTGCCCAGATAAAAATATGGTTTGCTTTAATACATTTTCAGTATTTTTAAAAATCTTTTTCTAGTTGGCCGCATGCATTTGATTATAGTGTAACTAGCATTTCCTTTTGGTGTAAATAATATTAAAAACATTACTATAAATAACAATGATCATCGGTGAACGTAGTGCACCACATAAACAATTGCTTATTCGCATTCTGTCTTTTAAAACATTACATCACATCGCATTGTGTGCGAGAATAAAAATAGCGTTTCGTAAATAACGGAACCGAAAACAAACGTTAAACTTTCCCAGAACATAAAATTTTTAAGCAGAGATGCTATTTTATCCTGTTTTTGTTTGTAATTCAAACGTTCACTGTTGCAACGGTAAGGACATCCAAAAATATATGACGCCAACGTTAAGCTGCGTACAACGATGTGTACAGCAGTCATTGGTTTCTATCGTCAGAAGATTAAGTACGTGTAATTGAAGCGATTTTATTTACACGTACGTCTATTATTATATTATTAACCAACGTGCTAGAACATAAGATAGGTCAGGACGGAAGTAGTAGTAGTAGTAGTAGTAGGGTTATAAAGCAGATGATAGCGCAGGGTCGAGTTGCCTTCAATAAAAAGAAGTCACTTCTATGCTCGCGAACGGTTAATTTAGAAATTCGGAAAAGATTGTTAAAGGTGTATGTTTGGTGCGTGGCGTTGTACATGTGCGAAACATGGACAGTGGGCGCGGCGGAATAGAAAAGGATAGAAGTGTTCGAAATGTGGTGTTATAGGCGAATGATGAGGATACCGTAGATAGAGAAGGGTAGAAATGAAGAGGTATTAGAAAGAATAGGAGAATAGAGGACTCTATGGAAGTCAATAAGAAATAGGCGGGATAGGTTAGTACGATACCTTCTCAGGCTCGTAGGTCTAGTCAGAGACATATTAGAGGCAGAAACGGGAGTTAGGAGGAGTAGAGGTAGACCTACATTAGATTATTGTTCACAAATAGTTAAGGATGTGGTTTGTTCTAGTCTTAGGGAAACGTGAAGATTAGCTCAAGATAGAAAAGAGTCTTAGGACTGACGACCTTATGATGATGATGTGCCAGAACTAGGTATATTTTGGTAATTTTGCAAGAAACCATGACATTTTTGGAAGGACATCTTATTCTAAAAAATTATACCACCTACGAGGTTATTAAAGGTTGTATTATATATTTTGGCTTTGAAAAAAAGATGTCCGACAGTTTATACCAGGGGTCTGCAATGCCCCTTAACCTAGTACGCGGGTTATTAACTAGTCCTTGAGTTATATATCAATTGGCTGTTAGATTCGTGGGCATATCACGCTGCCAAAATTCTGATGTGGGTATTCTAGAGCATCTCTTCTAGCTGGGCTACTACGGTTTACGTTTCGTACTCTTGGTAAGTCTGCCCTTGGATAATATGTGTTCCCCCGTAATGGATCAGGCTGCTTATCTTACATCTTCTCTGCTCTACACACTTCACGTCGTAACTCCACCCTAATGGGTTAGGTTACCCTCAACTTTGTAATCTTGTCTGATGCTCACCACTCTGGCAGGACTTATATCGCCCAGGACATGGGTAAATGAGGAGTGCTGACTCTTTGGCGGGGTTCCCCTGTAATTGACAATGAAAGTGTGATAGCAGTGGGATTGTGTCCCTTGTGTCGGTAGGGACTGTTCTTTTCCCCACGCCTGTGCTGGGCTGGTAGCACGTTTGCAGAAACCCTGATGGCCTACATGATTCACAAGACGCTATAGCTCGCGATTCTCTCTCTATAATAATGCAACGGAATGGCGAAGCGATGGCAGCAACGTGTATTCAACTGACTGCATTTTTATTCGCGACTGCATTCCTTTTCCACTACCGGCCAAGGAATTCCCCTGAGGCTCACGAGTATTGTGTGTGCGAGCATGCCGTGTAAAGAAACACAAACACACACATATATTTCGATACAGTACAAAACAGCATCAGGAGACCGATCTAACGCCAAGTTGAAATATCTATGTAAAGAAAGCAAAATAAAAATCGATAATTAGATTTCGGTAAGGTAAAAACCTCTACACCGTCTAAAAATTAATCATTGGATTATCGACGATTATCATCGGGACGTTCGGTGTTGTGCGTTGAGCTTTTTGAGCGCCGCCAAAATTTTCGAGTGATATTAACTGAATTAATTAGTGAATTGATTATTTGCTGTTAGAATTGGAGGACCTTATTTATATGTCATTTATTCGTAAACATTGATCACATTAAACGTAATAGTCGTACTGATTGCTATGTGCTTTGAGAGAGAACTGCTCCATACATCCGCAAAGAACGCCTGACAAGGACTATACTCTGTCAACTTTCATATCCTATTGAACTTTTTCTAAATATGAAGACCGATAAACAATTACGCGATGTAGACAAGGAAGTACGTACCTCTCTAGTCTATAATCCTTCCAAACCAAACAGGATTTTCATAAAATTTATATAGGAAATAGTCGAGTAGTCTTACCTCATAGCATTTTGTTTTGTTTACGTTTGCAACAATAGCGATTTATTTGTCGGCAAGCTTTCACCCACTAGAGGTCACGGTAGTTCTCGTTTCTATTTTTTTTTTGTTGTTGTACTTCCATGTACGTGTGTATCATATGCATAGATAGGTTTACATGTCGAAGGCATGCATGCATGTATGTGCTGCCTACATATACGGACATGTTTTAGTAGCAATCTATGTACCCACAACATGGATCTGATACATTCCTATAATAGGTGTAGGTGATTGCGCTTTGCATTGTTTGTTTACACAACGTTATACTATAAATATCTAGCCTCGCTTCGTTTGCTATGGAATATCTCTTTGGTTTCCTAGATAGTCATTGTCCATAAAATACGTACCTATAATAGTATAATAGACTTGTTTTTTGCTGATTTTTAACATGTAGTATGTGAAACAGATCTTATTACAAGTACTTATTTCGTCATAAGTATGTACAGATAATTTAGAATGCCATGAACCCAAGCCTTAACATGGGCGGTGACAAAACTTGTCATTCTTTATTGTCCACTTGGGGTTCTATACCTGGTTGCAAAGCGAGACACATGATTGCAATCAATAGAATAACAGCTTAGCCATTGTTTTCCAAATGTATCTTATGAGTACAATAAGACCCCTCACCCCTTGCGCATCTGAAGGTTCCTGTCATTCTAAACTACCTATACATGCCTTTAGCAATAATATGGATTTAAAAACGTAAAATTTGTTTTTGTTATGTTGAAACCTTTGCACATCTTCTGCCTTTGATATTTACAGAGCCGAAAAAGTTCAATTTTAATTTTACATGGGGTGTAATTATCTTAAATACATTTATTTTTAAATATTTTTACCTTAAATACCAGTCAATTGAAAAATGTTACCTACTATAAAATGTTCTTACTTTGTTCCAGGTTGAAGAAAATTCGAGGACCACATATTCATTTCCTTATTTGGTGAGTTTACTTATTATATTTTTTTTGTATAGAAGCGAAAACTGTCGATGCAGTCGCCAATCGACCTATAAAGTTCAATTAAAATTAGTTTGGTATAAATTTTACGTCGTTAGTACAAAAGGTATTTTCGTCGAGAGACATTTTGCGGGGATCGTTTTTAAAAAGATTGTATTTATCTGGGAGTTCGATCGTAAGGAACATTTTAAATTATCCCCAACAGTTAATGATATAAATGCGCGCAGTAGGCGACGTCGGAAAAATTATTTTCGGGGTCTTTTGCCATTAGTCGCCCTCCGAATGGTATTAATGCCACCATTTTCGACGAAAATCAATAAATCCGCCGAGGTTTTCCTATATAGAGACGGCTTTCCAATATTGTTTCCCGTTCGCTTTTGAACCGCTTATTCCCCAACGGTCAAGGGACGTCTGCTCGGTTACGTTTATGGAATGAATAGGAAAATATGGGCTGAATATCAGACCCGAATGCGTTGGAATATACATTTCTATGTTCAGTGTTTCTCGAATAACTTTCTCAACTTCTGCATCCATTGAATATCATCTATTCGAACTATAATAAAGATTATTCTTCGTTATTTCTATTCTACATGTATTCGTTTGAGCAATCCAAATAAGAAACTTAGTATTAATAACCTACGTCCACGAATATCAAACCGGTACGACAATGTTATGATTTGTCTCTAATTTGTTACCAAATTCAATAATTTGTCGCTCCAGGTGGTTATCACAAAATAGACAAAATGTTAATCTAATATCAAGCTGGGAATAGACATAGCGTATCTCGAAATGGAATTGTCATATAGAAATACTGTAAGTGATGCAATTTGTCGCTGGAGGGTGATGACACCTCTACTTATTTTGTCGCTACTGGAACTGATTAGTATAAAACACATAGAGATCCGTCAAGCCACTACCTACGCATCTCGAAATAGAAATGGCGTAGAGAAATACTTTAAGGTCTATAATTTGTCGCTATAACATGGTTCTACACCATTTCTATTTCGAGATACGCTATGTGTAGTAGGTACCATCTTGTCGGCTCTCCAGTTGTTTTTCTCTAGACAACTGGAGATCAGACTAGCGACAAAATGGGCAAAAGTACCATCATTCAACGACAAATTATAACCCTTACAGTGTTTTTCTATGTTGTTTCTATTTCGAGATACGCTATGTATAGTATAATCTTGGCGGTTGTCCTGTCGTTTTTCTCTGGACAACTAGAAGATAGAACCGCGACAAAATGGGCAAAAATACCATCATTCAACGACAAATTATAACCCTTACAGTGTTTTTCTATGCCGTTTCTAATACGACACGCTATGTATAGTATCATCTTGGCGGCTGTCCTGTCGTTTTTCTCAACTAGAAGATAGACTCGCGACAAAACGGGCAAAAATACCATCATTCAGCGACAAATTATAACCCTTACAGTGTTTTTCTATGCCGTTTCTAATACGACACGCTATGTATAGTATCATCTTGGCGGCTGTCCTGTCGTTTTTCTCTGGGCAACTAGAAGATAGACTCGCGACAAAACGGGCAAAAATACCATCATTCAGCGACAAATTATAACCCTTACAGTGTTTTTCTATGCCGTTTCTATTTCGACATACGCTATGTATAGTATCATCTTGGCGGCTGTCCTGTCGTTTTTCTCTGGACAACTAGAAGATAGAACCGCGACAAAATGGGCAAAAATACCATCATTCAACGACAAATTATAATCCTTACAGTATTTCGCAATGTCATTTCTATTTCGAGATACGCTATGTGTAGTGCCAGTTTAGCGGCTCTCCAGTTATTTTTCCCTGGACTACTGGAGAGCAAACCAGCGACAAAATAGGTAAAAGTACCATCTTTCAGCGACAAATTATAGCTCCTACAGTATTTTCTATGCCGTTTCTATTTAGAGATACGCTGTGTGTAGTACCATCTTGGCGACTCTCCTGTCGTTTTTCTCTGGAATACTGGAACATAGACTTGCGACAAAATGGGCAGTGACAAATTGTAGCCCCTACAGTATTTCTTAACTTGATTTCGACTTCCGGCTGAAGTAACATATTTTTGAATTTGATATACTTTCTTCGCTTATTTTGTCATCGCAGTACTACTGAAGATGTCAGCCGCAGTTTCCAGTATCTAACCATTCATTTATCCTTTGGGCCCAATAATAATTCTACTTAGGATTTCGATAATGAAAACCTATGTTCTTATAGCGTTTTATGTTTTTATACATTCTTGTGTAATATTCATTATGGAATAAGATCGTTTCTTTACAAAGTTGATAATGTAATTAGATCGTATTTTCGTGATTGGATCGTTTGTCAGTTCTTTAATGTAGAATATATTGTTTCAAATTAAAGTAATTTTGTTACGGGTACATGTATAATAATTATTAAACACGTGCGCTGTTTTAATGGAATGGCGTGTGTTATTAATGCCAATATTCGTTTTATTCTTTGCGGACATATTTATATGATCACGTGTTAGCACTTACTTCTTAAGGCAGATATAATACCCACGTTTCTTGTTTGCATGGAAATTGTTCCTTAGTGAACCAACCGAGCGAGATCGTGTTGTTTTTCTCATTATCGCGAATGTTTAGAATTACGAAAATTTTTCTTGGTTGAGTAATAAGGTGAAATGACGCGTTTTAAAGGACAAAATCGTAAACAACTCTAAAAATAGCCCGCAATATTTGAAGATGTAAAACGTTAATTTGTATAATATATGTACTTGAATACATACGTGTTTGTATTATATTATTAAACTGTTTGGGGAATGCATAAAACAGAAAACGAAAGTTTGACTCGCGCTGCCAAACTCGCGATTGAAAATTATGGTCTGGTCATGCAAATAACAATTATTGTTACTAAATAGTAGTAAAATCCACAGAAAAAGAAGCATAAGCAATTGTAATACTTACAAAGGGAGTAAGGGTATAAATTCTAGTTAAATAGCCTGTTTTGTAATTGCAATAAAAGTAAATATAAACTGCGTTCAAACGATTTCAAATCGAAGACGAAGTTTTATTTAAATGTATTTAGCTTCTTAAGTCATTAACATGCTTATTCGAAATTTGCCATAACATTTTGTAAATTTATTTCATTTGTTAAGAGTTTAGGGTGGCTATTCCATAGACCACCTACAGCGTAAGCTCTCTTTGAGAAAGCTCGGGAAATCTTTCGCATTTTCTTTTACCTTTTTGTAATGAGAGTAAAGTTACAGAATATCAAGTATATCACAAAAGCGTGAAAACTGTATAGGGTAAGTTTTTTTTTTGGCAAACGTTGATTTGTTGGTTTTGGATTAATAAAAAATTCTGATTAGCTCCGATTCTTTATTAATTGTTGAACAAGGTGACGTAGGGGTAATAAATTGAATTATTGTTATACATAAAACTATATAAACAGATCCTTTATTAACCGTAATCGGATGTATTTTCTTAGTTACTTTAAAAAAATTGTATTAGTCGTGCATATTAAAATTATTTTTTGACGTCCTTGTTGGTCTAAATGACTAAGGGCAAAGTCATAACCAAATTAGCGAGGAAGCGGGTTATCTATCGCAAATATCGCTGACGCAAAATAGTTTCAACACAATGCGTCTTGTTCTTCTTTTGGCAAAAAAACAATACACAATCGTTTTGTGTCGCCAACGGTTTTATTATTGAACAATGTATTGTAATAATTTTAATGACGCTTAGTTGTTTGGAATGTTTTTAATTCAAATGCGTCATTCGGGAGCTCCTTACAGAACGGCGCTGTCCTCTAAAGGGGTTGATTTTTCCCATATAAAATCTAAATTACTTTTTATGGTTAAACCAAATTTAAAATCTGTGTGTCGACCGTTTTGCGAATAATCTTGTTAGTCCCTAATGTGGGTACCATATCTGAACCACAGCAGTGGGTACTCTTATCTTGACCAAGTCTGTCTGCCCGATTAGGCCCGAATGTTCTAACGTGTTACATTACCCGGGTCCTATTAGAAAGCAGGTTTGCTGGATGGGGTCCCAACTGCAGCCCTAACAAATTTTCAGTCGAATTACTATAATAATTTTGTGGAACTATACCAAATAGTAAAAAGGTACTTTTTATTATGCGTCTTGTACTACCAAATGAATTTTCTGGGTCTGGTCGAGCTCGTCGCCGTATCCGTTGTGTTATTGGACTGGACCACATGAAGTATCTCTTCGGATTGCGTCCATTTACGAGGGGAATCCCATGATTTCAGACAGGTAAGTGAGCTGTAGTCAAATCAGCTAATTCTTCAGAAATTTAATGTCGCAAAATCGTTCCGATGCTTTCCATTGCAAAATCGTTTATAACAAAACTTGATAGCGAAAAGGATCTGAGGATTGAATTAGTTTTCAAGAATCAACTGTTTCCTTTCGTCATAAGTCGACACTGTTCCTAACTATCACTTTGCGTACATGTACATGTACATGAATGTAGGAACAACCTGTTTTATTAATTAATTTGCAGCAATAAAAAGGCTTAAGTCCATTAGAAAGGAACTTTTTGTATAAAAAGAAACTATAAGTGATGTAAATTTCTTTTATCTGTTTACCAGTTTTACTATCTTTTATTGTGTTGGGTTGGGCATTTTTTAAAAGTATTGCTGTCAGAATATCAGGGATTACCAGCAGTTGCGAAATATGGATTTTTGAAGCCAGTTGACATTCTCTGATGTAGCGTGTGGACCTCATGTGAGGCAAGCCGATAGAGGGATTTCCCCGTGGATTCCTTATGTGGTACAATTACGAAAACATCAAATATAGGAAGTCTTATAGGCAAATTTGTGATTGTGTGTTAGTTTTTTATATAGCGATTTTTTACGATCCCGTTTCGTAGAGGATGAGAAAGCTAAAAATTGATGAATTTTGCTTTAGGTAATTTATAGACAGCCCCATTGGTAATTCTTTTATCAAAAAGGTACCAGCCTTCGATAATAATTGATTTTGCGAGCTGAAACAATATCTG